GAGAGGTGTGTGGGCGGGAGTGCGTGCATATGTGTTTACGCATGAGGATACATGTGCATTCCTTCAGCCCTCGAAACTATCGCAAATATATTATGTGGCCCTCTTTGTGAAAAATTTGGAGATCTCTGCTCTAGATGTTATGAGACCATTTGAAATTGATGACTTTTACTGGTGTATAAGCAGTGGCTCCGACATCATGCTTAATCTTCTCTTTCTTTACAGAATGCATCTACACAAAGCATATGTGTCTGGATGGAAAGCAAATTAACCTGGAAATATATGATCCTTGTTCACAAGTAAGTTTTAAAAATGCAGCTGATAGCTCATGCTTGTCCAAAGGCATTTTAAAAAATGGGAATGGGTACAGGGGCAGAAGTAGATAAGATGAATTCCCTAGATATAAAGCCACCCTGATCCAAATAGTGGTGCAGAGAGGGGCTTTCATTGCGATAGTGCCAGGCTTATTGTGCTAACCATTGCTCATTTTCAGAGTTAGTCCAACGGTGACATTAAGAGTTAGTATGATCAGGTGCAAAATTTGTTACATGTCCACTTGTGCATCTGGTTGTGCAGCTGATCACACAACTCTCTGCTCAACAAATGCCACTAAACTAGCAGGGATATTCACCATCCACCAGTGTTACGCTAGATTATGGCCAATGTATTTCATTCCTACGTCCCTGGAATTGAAACAACGAGAGATTGAGATGAGGCTTGTTGGAACCAATTGCAAAGGCACACAAAGCTTTATATATTGACGTATTGTTATTCGTCTCATTAACAATAACATACAACGTACAGTGGTGCCTCGCTTAACGAGAAAAAATGCAGCTAATTGCTCATGCAAAACGAAGCCCCGACGATCAGCTGTTCAGCGGCCAAAATGGCCGCCGGAAGCCCGGAAATGGCCCAAAATGGCCGCGCGCAGCGTTTTCGCGCCCTCGTTAAGCGAGGGGAGGGCGCGAAAATGGCTGCCGGCCATTAAGAAGCATCGCTGAACGGTGAGTATTTGGCCCATTTGGAACGCATTAAACCATGTTTAATGTGTTCCAATGGAATTCCCTGCCCCGTTCAACGATGCTTCAGCATAGTGAAGGTTAATCCGGAACGGATTAACCTTGCTATGCGAGGCACCACTGTAATTACAACCCCTGTGGACCGTGATTTGGAGCATCATGTAAATCTTTATTCCATCCCTTTAACCAAATAAGAATGACTAAAATAGCAAGAGTGCATCAATTAAGCAAAATAGGAAAGTTCAAACACACACACACACACACAAATTACAAACTACTGGTTTGGCGGTTTGGCCAACAGTTCAACAGGTGGTTTGTGCTGGTTCAGCCAACAGCCAAACAGATGTTCCACAGTTTGGCACCCTGTCCCCTTTGTCAGGCTCCCACTCAGAGTGCCCATCCCTATGCACTTCCTTGGTTTCAAACAAAGCCTGGATTAGATTGATGTTTGCAGAATGAGGATGGTGTCATTGAGATCCCCACTCAGCCAGAAGGCCTGCTGGGTCATTGTGAAAAAGGTCTCCCTTTAACCAAGCTTGTTGCATGAATGAAAATGGTGGAGCCCTGCGTACTACATTGGGCTCTATGGAGAAAAAGTGTGATGAAAATGCAAAAATGGTACATAATTAAAAGTGAGAGTTTCTGAAGCGAAGTATCTGATACTTCTTATTTCGGAGAATTCGGCGCCAGCACATTCTAGGATGGTCTTAATGCCATACTAATGCCGTATCTAGCGCTGCCTGTCTCGCTGAATGTCTTCTGTTCCCTTCCAGCCTCGACGAGGGAAGCTGTCTCTCACGGACGAGCTCCACTGGGCTGACGGGTTTGTCATCGTGTATGACATCAGTGACAGGACGTCGTTTGCTTTTGCGAAGGCTCTGCTCTACCGGATACGAGAGTGCAACACGGGAACTTGTAAAAGGCAAGCTGACAGATCTTGCGGCTTAGGAAGTCTGAAAGGGTTCACAGTGATCGCTGGAGGGATGGGGCTGGATCAAGACTTGTTTAACTTTAACCTACTTCCTATGAACATAGCCTTGTTTAATACTAAACCCAGAGAAGTCAATGGAACCAAAGTTATGACTAGAGATGGAGGTATTCATATACGAATATGAATTCGTGCAGTTAACGAGGGTCCGGCCCCCGAGAACGACTGACCACTCATGATTCTGCCGCTACCACAAGCTCCGCTGTGCGTTCCTGTCACTCCGTTGCTTACGATGGATTAGCCACTCTTCGACCTGGCAGAGAGGCTTGTCATCCCGCCTTCTGATGGGAGTAGCTAATCCATCGCGAGCAACGGAGTGATAGGAGGGATCCGTGGAGCTTGCGGCCGTGGCAAAATCGTGATTGGTCGGTCTGGCCCCTTGAGAGTCTCAAGGGTCCTCCATTTTAGCATCATAAACATTATAAGAAGATTACTAGGGTAAAATGGATTGGCATAATCACGTTAAAGAGTCTTTTTTCTCTCCCTTCAGAGCTTCAGAGTCCGCCGTCGTCTTGGTGGGGAACAAGCAAGATCTGTGCCACATGCGAGAAGTTGGCTGGGAGGAAGGGCACAAGTTGGCCCTAGATTACAAGTGCCAGTTCTGCGAACTCTCGGCCGCAGAACATTGTCAGGAGGTGGCAGCCATGTTCACCAAAGTGCTGAAGAACCTCAGCTCTTATTCCAAAATAAAAGAAAGGAGACGGCCCAGTGGCTCAAAATCCATGGCCAAATTGATCAACAACATGTTTGGGAAGAGGAGGAAGTCTGTGTAAAGGAAGGCCCATGGACTGTGATCAGGAGAGAAAGAAAGCCTTCTCAAAAGGAAGCTTAATCCACACGGTGACCTAACCAGTGTTTGCAGGACTCCATTTTATAGAAAGCTATTGACCAGGACTGAGTGCTTCACATACGGCGTGCATGTTCGTTCCTTGCGCTCTGATTGATTCATGACTCGCATGAGTGAACTCTTGTGTGTTTAACGGTGTTACATTTGAGTTGACGTCACACAATGCTGAAGTTTTTTCCTGTGGTTATTAAGGCTTCATGGCGGATAACTGTATCGTTTTATGCAAAGATGCTTTAATTCAGCTACTCATGCCTAAAAGCCCATTGAAAACAATGAGGCTGCTGATCATCACCACTATTTTTTTGTTGGATCAGGACCATGGCTGAAGGGCATTTTATGAAGTGGTAAAATCATAGCAATCCACTTGTTAGTCCCAACTAGAATAGATAGTTGAAACTGTGACTTTTTGTTGACTTGCCCGTCAGCCGCTGATTCAATGGGTCTACTCAAAAGATGGGTTGGGATCAGCGAATGAATATTGCTCCATGAAGCTATTTCTTCAGGCACTGTGATTGCTCCCTGAATTTAAGCAGAATATTCTCTCCCCACCCCCTTTCATTGCACTATTTACTTTGAAAGTCCCTTTGGGCGGAAATGGCCAGTCTGTCTAGGGTTACATTGGACCAGTTCCGTTAAAATTAAGCTTTTCTTCTGTGTAGAATGTTATTTCTTTATGTAACACATTTTAGTGCCTTTTCCACAGCAATGTGACTGCAGATTCAAGGTGTTATGAATAATCCAGGCCTGGCGTTAAGTAAAGCTAAGAGTTTCATGGCATGCTCATAAGCAAAGGGAAGAAAACAATCTAACTCACAGATGGCTTGCCTCGTTGAGATAGAGGCCAGAATCCTACTGGTGATTTACAGTACGCTTGTGTAAGAGATCAGAAATGTGTCCAAGAACACAGCCAGCACCTCATTAAGGAGCAGCAGTTTGCCGCTGTGACTTGGGACAGAGGTCCACCTGAGCCGGACCGGGCCACGGAGACAGGCCTCCCCCCCCACACGCACTTCCCTCCCCGCAGCTGCTTTGCGCACATGCGTGGGTGCCAGCACCAGCGCTCCCCCACCCCTTCATACATGTGCCTGCATGAAAGGGCAGGCAGGTGCTCCTGCACATGCATGAAGGGGTGGGGGAGCACTCGTGCCAGCTCTGGCAGGCATGCACGTGCTCTCCCACCACATCATGCATATGCCCGAGAGTGCGGGGGGGGGGGCCCCGCCTTCCTCAGAGCCTCAGCCAGTCCCTCCTGCACATGCATGAAGGGTTGGGGGAGTGCTCATGCCAGCTCTGGCAGGCGTGCACGTGCTCCACCACCACTTCATGCATGCGCCTGAGAGTGCGGGGGGTGCCCCGCCTTCCTCAGAGCCTCAGCCAGTTTGCGGTCCCAAAAAGGTTGGGGACCACTGACTTAGGAGAGCTCTCTTATGCAAAAATAAATAGCCAATAGGGTTCTGGCTAGTGATGCTGAGCCTGTTCTCGGAGTCATGAAAATAATTCCAGGCATGACTGATATTTGAGGTTTTGATGCTTCTTGACAATGTGCAAAAAGCAGCCGTGTGCATCTCCAAAGTAAGATGCAAAATACTTTTGGAACTTGGACCGTTCACAGCTTGTCAAAATAGGCAGAGCTGCTGCCACCAACGTCAGGCTTCAGATGGAGCACTAAGTCATGCTGTATTTTGGTAAAAGCATACAAAAAAGAGGGGGGCTAACAAGGTATATTTTCTGATCCATACTGAAAACACAGGCTCTGATTCAGAGGGTGTACACAAGAGGTTCATCCCCATTCACTAGGGATTAGGATGATATGAGGCTGTCTCCTGTTACACTGGAGCCTGGTGATGCAGTAGTTTAAGTGCAGTACTGCAGTGAAGGCTGCTTACAACCTACATTGAATCCCCACAGGCTCAGTGAACTGGCTTCAAGTTGACTCAGCCTTCCATCCTTCCAAGATTGGTAAATTGAATACTGAACTCATGTGGGGGGGCAGGGGGGCAATGTGTAGCCTGCATAATTAAATTGTAAACCACCCAGAGCATAACTGAATGCCCAGCTTGCTTGGGGGGCGCAATGCGTAACCACCATAATTTTGTTGTAAACAACCCAGAGAGTGCTTTAAGTGCTATGGAGCAGTATATAAGCAGCACACACTTGGTTCACATAGCCTAGATGGTTGGATCTGTTGTAAAAAGCACTCACCTGAGATTCACTTGTCAGGAAGCCTCCAAGAAAAGTCTGGGACAGCCTGAGAAAATCTCCAGTTTGTGCATGAAGCACTACATGAAGCGGTGGGAGGGGGGGAATACTGAACAGGATTGGCCTCGTTTGACAGACCCAAACAACCTGGAATTAGCATTGGGGTTTGCTGTTCAAAACAGGAGAATCAAACGCCAGTGCGTTTGCTGGTGTCCCATTGCTTCTACCGTTGGGCTTGGAGTTTCGTGATGCTCTGCCTTTAATCTGTATCTATTTATGCATTCATGCCGTACCTGAGAAGGAACATTAATTAAAATACCAGTATGAAGGAATATTAATTAAAATTTTAAAAAGTAATTAAAAACAACATCCTCCCTTATTGTTATTTCTTCTGTCTAGTCCTTCTGTACTAGAGTGCTGGATTTAAGCACTTTTAAGTGAATAGAATAACTGCTTGCCCACCCAGGTCCCAAAATGAAGACGCAAGACAGTGATACGGATTAAATATGGGCCACACTTTATTAAATCAATTCTGATTATTGATGTCATTGTTCTCATAAAATGAGGGGGCCTGCGGTAGTGCGGAGAAAGAAATGCAGGGCATCCACAATGCCCTTATCAGTCAATGGGCGAGTCCCAAGCCCCAGGTTCCAGCTGTCTTGACAACATCAGGAACCCTGCCAGCCTCTACTAAACACCCCAGACCTCGGGCCATCTTTATTTGATGACTGTCGGTCCGAAAGAGGCCCAGCGCATCTTCCCGCCACCGGCCCTGTAATTGCACGATCCGCAGAACCAGGAGGTCAGATGCACTGTTGGCTTACCAAAACTATCAAAGGGACACACTGAGACAACCAGTTTTTTTCCTGCACTATCTGCCAGTGTGACCAAGAATAACCACCAATCAAATGCCAACAACCCTTCTCCAGTGTGGGATAGGTGAAAAATCCCTCCATCCCATAGCCAATCAGGATAGAGGTCAAAAATTCCTATCCAGCCCCATAAAGATGACCAAAAATCACACGAGAAAGAGGGTGGGTGGGTGAGTGCCCAAACGAGAAAGAGGACACGTCGGGGGCTAGCATTCCCTTAAATAAACGCTCTCCCCCTCCTTTTTAGTCACGTGACCGGAGCTGGTTTGCGTCCTCCAGAACCAAGAAGGGCAAAGCCAGCTCCGCAGTTCAAGGGCGTTGTAACGTCCTTCCTGCGGCCGGAACCTTTGCCAAATCAGATGGCAGATCTATTTTGCTAGCCTCCTGTTAGCCAGTTTGGTGCTCAAATTGTGGAGGAAAAGGGAAGAGAACAAAATCTAAAAGATTCCACTCCCCAGCGTCCACCAACCTTTGCCAAACCATGTCGCAGTACGTTTTTTAAAAAAAACAAACCAAAAATCAACATAGTAGCTAAGAGCACCGAAGAAGTACAAGGATAGGATTCTGTCAAACTTCCCTCCAAATAATTTGAGTACTAGGACAACCAGCCTCAGAAGTGTTTCTACTGTTCTGTGAAGTAAGGCAGCTACCTCACCTTTCTTCAACGCAGTGTTGAAGAAACGCCATCTGCTAGCCATTCTAGATGGTTTTCCTACTGCAAAAAAGAGGGAGCACCATATTTCGTTCTGTTTTGGTTTTGACCTCAGGAAACACCATGTTTGGGACAGCCCTACCCGTTTGACCAGCAGTGGTAGACCTATTCCATCAACTGACATTGGTCTTTTAAGAACCCACATCAAGTTTTGGTTGATGTTTGGGATGCAGCAAAAAAATGGACATCTAGGATTGGGCTGTAATGTTCTTGTAAGTCACTATGTCATTAGTTCATACTTTCTTATAATGGCTCTTGAGATGTAGAAGCCTGAGAGCTGGCAGGCTACAGGGTGCTCAGCCTCTGTACATGGAATTAGGAGAAAACCGGTGAAGAAACTGAGAAACGGGTAACTTGAGAGATGAGATCCATCTTGGACAAGACAGAAATAGGTCTGGAAGTATGACTTCTCACTGTTTCTCTTGGAATGTTGCTCAGCTACCCAAGTCGAAGCACCTACTTTCTTATCTCACGAGAAGCTAGTCGCATGGCCTGTTTTGCCAGGCTAGTCCAGGTATTCTCCTGATTAAGAATTGATTTCAGTTGGGTGATTGGGAAGAGTAGCTTTTTTTGATGAAGATCCTAGGACAGTAGTTCCCAATCGTGGGTCTCCAGATGTTCTTGGACTAAAATTCCCAGACGCCTTCACCATTAGCTGTGCTGGCCAGGATTCCTGGGAGCTACAGTCCAAGAACATTTGGGGACCCAAGGCTGAGGAGCCACTGTTTTGAGGAGATGGGGACTTGTTTGGTGGAGATTGGGGAATCTTCTAGAGTGGAACATTTAGAGTTTAAGGGGGTCTCAAGAAGTTACTCTGTGCTTAGCTACCGAGAGCAGGAAGCTCTCTGCTCCATTACTGTTTCACCTCGCTGCATAGATATGAACTTTGCAATTGCTCAGAAACTATGCTGTCCTCAAATATTGTTAAGTAAGTCTGAGAGAGTGAAGTAAACTTTATTGTCCTCTTGTTTTCTGTAAATCTCTCTTGCCATAACGTCTGCCTTTTTAAAACTCTTTTTGGTTCTGTTTGCCTTTTAGTTCTTTTCAGGAAAATGTAATCTTTTCTCCACATTATGGAACTATTGTTGACTGGGGATTTGGTACTAAATCTAGCCTGAATCCTTGACTCTTTTAGTGCATGTGGGGGCAGCTTGCTTAATCCCTAGGCTGGTGCAAAAGGAAAGGGCACAGCCTTGTGGGTTTTGGAGTTCTTAGAGAGACAGCCTAATCAGAGCCATGACGAGGGTTCTTAGGTTTCCCTAAGTTTCTGTAACCAGAGTTTGCTGATTGAGTTTCACACACACCCAGGAAGTGAAAGGTAAGTACTGTCACATATCTGTCCTTTTTTTAAGGTAGTAAAATATCTTGTGTCAGGCCCTGTTAGAGGATCACATGTGCCCTGTCTGACTGTCTTCACTGGCGAGGATTTCACTGGTGTTTGCCCCGCAGAGATGTGGGTTTAGTATCCCTCATGAATCCGTGTCTTCCACACCCAGGCATGCACAAACATAGTAACAGGACTTTTGCTAGTCCTATAAAGCCTGACAAGAGAGATCTTCTCAAGGCACTGGATATGAATTGATGTTAAAGAGTGTACACAATTATTCACATCTTTTCTTTGGCAAGACTGAAGAGGCTGATAGCTCTTTTGGAACTATGCTGAGGAAGACGCCTTTTAAAGAAAACACCGTTTTCTGCTTTGGAGTGGATCGTATTCCATCTTTATGGCTGCCATCAGCACCCTCTTGTGGCTCACAACTGCATGAGAAAAAAAGACTGCAGCCTGTTTGGGCAGCATGAGAGGTTATCAGCAACAAGACCTGCAACAAAATGTTGCAGTATGGAAGATTAATATTCAACCATCCTATTTTGTTTTCCCTCTCATTTTTTTTTAACCGTTCTCATTTGGCACTTAGGAGCCACTGAGAATCCCCAGTTCTCATGGATCAATTTGTACCTTCATTTAAATATATATATATTTTCAGCTTCACATCTTAGAATCCCAACAAGTCTGCCGACATTTTCTCCCTGCACAGAGGTAATGCATTCCAAGGTCAGTAAATGGAGTACCCCGCTTGCTGGAGTGGGGCAATGCGCAGCCTACATTACTAAATTTGACACCACCAAGAGAGTGCTTTAAGGGCTATGAGGTGTTATGTAAGCATTAGTAGCCCAGGTGTGAACCAGCAAATGTCTGATAGACAGTAGACCGATGACATCGTCAAATGTACAAGAGTGA